TTGATGAAGATCAAATGCATTAAGTGTACAAAAAGAAAGCTGCATTATAACGACACACAACATATCATTAGTTATAAAAAAATTAAAGAAAATAAGCAATTTATTTAAATGTATAGCTTAGTACAAAATGAGCAATTTATTTAAATGTATAGCTTAGTACAAAATGAGCAATACATATGTCATGTTTATGGATAGTTTAGAAACAGATGCAATGTAAACGGTCACAAATTTTGAAGTAAAAAGGCTAATTAGATTGTATTATCTAGAGATAAATCTGAAATGAAATGCCAAAATGTGTGAGGTACACTAGCCACAACATGACGCTGAACTAATAAAGTCATTATCAATCATAACAATGAAAATCATCATCAGAATTAAAACAAATCAGAGTGTCATAAAAAAGCTATAACTCAAAATACAACTGCATTAAAACTTATGTCAACATGATTTTCAAAAACGTGCTATCCAATTTCAGAGTCTTAATTTAAAATTAATGAATCATCATCTCTAATTTTCATTTGAATTGAAGAACCAATTTGAAATTTTAAGACAAATTTTGACAAATTCACATTCCGTTTGAGCTCATTTGTAATTTTTGGAGCATATGCATACATAGCACTTCAGGAAACAGTTACATTTTATACAATTTTGTGACAATTTTTGTTTTTATCATTACAATGATTTTTGCATTTAAGTGTAAATATCAATTCAAAATTAATGCAAGTATGTTAAATAATGATTGCACAATGATAACATATACATCAACAAATTCAAACTATAAAAATATTCAAACAAATTACATATAAATTTTGTTGTAATATATGATAGCAATATTTGATTCAAATTTGTAATATATAATAATAAAATTACAAACACATACTCTTTTCAGTTGATAATTGAAGTTTATTTGTTTTTATTATGGTTAACTATTGTCATCTACACCGAGAAGTGAATATGTGTATGTCTTGAAAAATGTATTTAGCATCGAAGAAGTATGATTAAATGGTTCAAAAGTACACTAATAAATTACAGTTTTGATACAGTAAGTCTTCGATAGAATAATAAATAGTTGGTCATTCGTTTGTCTTTTCCAAAATTTTGTCTTAAAATCTATATTACTTTTGACTTTATCATCTACAAAATCATCTTTCACTTCACTTAGAATACAAACTAATTCCACACGAAAAGAACACATTTTCCAGTCCATTACAGAACATCTGCATATAATGTGCTTGAAGGAGTTGATTGAACATGAGTTTTACAATCCACTATGTATATTTATACTAAAAACAATTAAAATAGATGAAGATTACATTTCATTAACAATAGAAAAAACATAGAAAATTACATATAAACTTTATTAGAAATTCAATATTTAATTATGAAAACTAAACCTTTTTATTTCAAAAAACAATGCGTGAGAATCTTTGTAAACAACAATGAAGTAATCACATTAGTTTGCACCATACAAGATACAAATTCAGCAAAGTTGAATGCAATGCACATACACTACGGCGTACATAGTGAACAAAAAACAAATAAAAAGTACTTCAAACTGTAGATTTAACACCACAATTTTTTAGATTTTTTGCAATTGCTTCTTCAATTGCATGCTTAACAATTTTCTACTCAGTTGATGTTGAGATCCACAAACAACTTGAACTAAAGTGATCTTAGTGGCAAGCTTTACATTGGCGAGAGTCACTTATGGCTACAAGATAAAGTTAAAGAAAGTCAAAGCACCACAAGTTAAATGATAAATGATAAATATATCAGGCCTGTGGGATTAAAAGGATCAAAAGGCTGGTTTAGTAAAGGCAAGTTGGCTTATTGTGCCACACACTTCATACCAAATCAAGTAGTAGAAAACAAGGTTAATACAATTTGAGAATTGTTGAATTATAATGATGAGTTTGAGAAAAGGTTTGAAGAGACAAGCCTTTAGTTTATGTATGCAAGTAAAGGAGATGTTGATTATCTTTTGTGATAGTTATCTCAAGTTGTAGATCTCTTGAATTCCCCTTTGTGTTACGTGCTAGTGTTGAAGAAGGCAAAAAATACACTTTTAACAATTGTGATTGAAAGGTATGGAATAGTTCTCGACAACCAAAGAGCTTTTTGTGTCATTCAAATACTTGTATATGGTAGCGACAGACCGTTCCTTAAGACCATGGTTGGAAACTCGTAGTAGTGGATTCTTGATGAATATCATTCATGTTCTAATCTTATGGGGTGAAGATATCTATTTTCTTCATTTGCTCCATGAATGTTTTTATTATTCCCATTCAATACTAAGCCATATGTTTAGTCCAAGTAGAAGAAATGTGGAAGTGTTTTTGTTTTATGTTCAAAAGAAAAAATTAACGATTAAGCTCCGACTTATCTATAAACATGAATTCATACAAAATGTGTTAGATATTGCCATCAACAAGTCATTATTTATAAATAAGAGTAGCGTTGAAGCATTGTTCTTTGCCATTCTACTATTCTTGATACATAAACTTGAAGTAATTGAAAACTTCCTATATTTGCATTTGAACTGTACCATTCGAGTTCCTAGTGTAAGAGTCTTTGTAGTTCAAGAAAATTGAGCAAACTAACAAAGAAACTTGTGTTATTTCTAGTGGAGAAGCTTTAATATAACTAAAATGATAAGCTTCAACAAAATGTTACACCCAACATGGCAAGAGCATGAACTCAGAGAGTATGATCATAGCAACTATGTAACCTCGTAAGCAAATTGGCTTCATGCTTCTTAATTATTTGGTAGATTGAGCGTAGACACTACTGTGAATTAAGGTTTTGTTACTAAATTGTAAATTTGCATTTTGGTCTATAGGACCTCTTCTTAGCATGGTTATGTGCACATAAGTTTTTTGCTTTGATACTTTACCAAGAACAATTGTATCAAATACAAAGACTTCTAGTGATTCAAGCTTTGTAGTAGAAGATAAAGTCTGCGATGTTCACGGATAAAAGACTTTGCGGACATTTTAGTACACAACAATTCCGTTGCTAATGCCCACCATGGCTCATAATCTCGCATCTATTGAACCTACGGGATTGGTCGTATTATAACATCTCAAGACAAACAACTTCCTCGGCCTCCCCTTGAGGCCAAAAATCCTTAGCAAATGTACCTTTCGAAAGAATATCGGTTCATGCAGGAAGCGACTTCACGTCATAACCACACTCCTATTGTGTTGAATCTGAAAATATTTCACAAAGACACATATTTCGAAATCTACCTTCGGCACACAAGGAATCTATCGAGGTCGTCAACCCTAACATTGAGCGCAAAAGGTGATAAATGTCCTACCGGATATAAGAATGCATTTTTTTCTTCATGCAATAATCTATCTGAGTGCGGCACCTTTACATAAGCAGGGACAAAAGTTTTATGAGTAACAAAATGCCATGGTATGACCTAAACGGTTGTTTTCTACCAAGGGATGTGATGTAGTATACATGTGTGACTGTTAGCTAGGTATAACTTAAATTATGATCCCCCTCCTCCCAACATCTGCCACTTTGCGACACAACTTTGACAAACTGAATACTGGAAATTGTAAGCTCTTTAGGAGAGTCTCACAGTCATAATGATAGTGGATAGTTTAACCCACAAACTCTTCCTTGGAGTCGCGCGTTGTTACTATAATCTCGCTTTGCTTGATTGGGCCAATCCTTGGCAAAGTTGACGTTATCCTAGGAGTATATACTGAGGTAGATCCTGTCATAGAGGTTGTTCCCGCCAATCTGGTTAAATTGTTGACCAAGGATTCATAAAATACGACGTTATATCAATCGTCAGAATATCATTTCTTCTTATGGAAAAGAGCACCAACACTCATACATGTTGGGCAGAACTACATATCGTACATCTGCACCGAGAAGGTCATCACTATACTCATAGACTTGTACTTGAGGGATAATGTCCTTGGCGAAGCCTTCTTCAAGGGAAGTTTGGAAGCCACGAGTATCCGGTTATGCTCGTGAGGATCGTAAGATTAAAGTGTTCACACGAAAACTCAATATGAACGCACGTTCTAGACAACATACACAGGCATTGAACATTCGTTATCGATTACAAGTGTCGAAGAATATTTTGAACTTGTTATCATCCAAAGTGTCCGATAACCCAAAAGGAAGCACAAGACGCAAACCAAACTCACAATTCTGTTCGCCTCAATCACGAGAGCGAAGAGTGTGAAACAAAGAAGTGGCCAAAAGAGGAGAATTCTAGGAGAGGAGACAGCAGGCGTGAGTAAGAAGATGGAACGAATTAGGGGAATCGAAGGCCGTACTCGGAAGACGTGTCGAGATGAACACAGTAGCCCTTACGGTACGCAAAGGCCGATGAATGGGCTAAACGCTGAGCCTCGTCAAAAGATAGAGAGGCCATTGGGTACCGACGGTGCAACGCACGACGCATAGTGCGAAGCTGATAATTTACTCGTGCAGAAGTCGAGTGAGGTCAAAGCCCGAAGGCGATGGATGATGGCAATGAGTGACAAATTAGATTAACCCGGGCAAGCCATCATGCATTGCTCGAGCGATCGCCAAGAAATGCGATCTTCGGCACGCTGCTGACACAGTTCCCCCACAGCGGTAGGTGAAAAAACAAGAAGGAATTTTAAAAAAGAAGTGCGAGCAGCCCAATTTCATGGACGCTCGCAGAAATTGTGTGTCGTCCAGATAGAATGGGCCATAGGCGTGTCAGTTACAGTATCGCCTCGTCAACCGGACGAAATGCCTGCTGGAGCCGCCTTGTCAGCGGGCCGTAACTCGAGTCGTGGGTGGTTCGCCTTACCCAGGATTGGCCCCTGTTCCCCTAGATCCCGCCCGTTCTCTGGCCCTGTCTAGGCCTTCCTTCGGTCACGGGCCTTCTCCTCGACCTTCATTCTTCTCCGAGGGAGTCCTTCCCTTCCCTTCCCTTCCTCTCCTGCCCCGCCTCGCCCCTCCCCTCCCCGCCCTGCCCCGCTCCCCCCCCCCCCCCTTTGGCTTCCCCCCTCCCGCCCCCGTCCGTCCCCCACCCCCACAGCCCGCCCCCCACGCGCCCTCTCTCTCTCGATCGCTCGCTCGCTCTCCTCTTCGTCCGTCCCCTCGCCCGCCAGACCTTAGTTTTTCGTCTCAGGTGCTGCTGCTCGGCTGTGGTGCGTCGCGCTCGGTTAGATCTAGGTAGACTACCGTAGTGGCATGGTGTTGTTATCGGGGTTTTAGATCCATTATCTGGTGCTACATTGGATTCTGCAGATCTTGGTGTCGACAAAGGTTTGCAAATCTTTCTTGCCTTGCTCCCATTTTTTTTCTTCGTTTGGTTTTGTTTTGCTGCTGCTGGTGTCGGTCTAGGCATCTGCGCCGGGTTTGTTTCATTGTGTCGCTCGTTGAAGCGGCGAGGGTTGGTCCGCCTGTGCTCGACGATCTTCGAGGTTGTCGGGCGGACTCGGTGGTGAAGTTCCGTCGGGGACTGATCGGATGCGAGCTGTGAATGCTCGTGTTATTTGCGTGGGCATTTGTGCAACGTCAGAGGCTGGTGTGTGCAAGCTTGTGGGCCACTAGCTGTTTCTTTCCCCCTTTCTTTGCTTTACTCGTCCTCGGTGCAAGGATAAGTCCGGCGGCATCGAAATCTAGTCAACTCAAGCTTGCATTCGGTCAGCTGTTGCGCTTGAATTCACGTCCGGTTTTGTTTTGTGGTTTTTGGTGCTTGGCCTTCCCTTTCATCGCATGTTCTGGGCCACTTGCGTCCACCTCCGCGCTGAACCTCCGAGAGCCTTGTTCTGCAATTCAAGGAATAGCACTTCCATGAGTCTCTTTTCGTGGTTTGCCCTATCACACGCGGGAGCTTATCCGCGAGTGAGTTGGAACGCTGAATTGTATTGCAGCGGATCTGCTGTTCTTGGACAATCTTTTGAACGCACAGTTCAAGACCCATTCGGTTCGGTAGTCAAAGTAGGTTTGTCGTCCGATCATGTGACGAGATCCTTCAGCTCTACTCCTGTCCCTCACCTGTCTGCCCCTGTTCAAACATGTACGGAAAACTCTAGCTCGCGTCTTCTCACGAGACACGCACCAGCTGCGGCAGCACAAGAACTACCATTCCCTTCCCTGCATATGCTCGAGCTATAACCGAGCTTCCACCACCAGTGGTTCTAACCTCCCAGAGGCGGAGGCCACAAGATCCCAAGCAATATGAGCACCTTCAGGGCTGCGTTCCCTTATCAGTGGGATGGCGCTAGATTTGTGAGCGGTTTTGCTGTTTGGATTGGGATCTATTGTAGCTTGCGTCGATAATGAATGTCTTCTGTTCGTTAGAGTTGTTTGTGAACGGCGACACAGAGAGGTAGCACCGATTCAAGTGCCGTGGTTCATCTGTTATGATTTTGTCTTACCGTTTTCTTGGCTCTTAGCAAACCCTTGAACTCATCCAGCTGCTGTATTTTCAATGTTGACAGGGTTTGCGTTTATCTGTTGGTTCATTCCGGATCGAAGGCTTCATCTTTTGATTAGGACAAGTATCACCCGTGAGGAAGGTCCGAAGGCCAAGTTCTGGCGTAGAGTCATCTACGACCTCCGGGTTGACTCCACTACAGATTGGTGCGTGAACGTCGTTCTCCTGTCTCTACCGGAGCATCTCCTTACAGTTGCCCTCGACTTGGGGGTTCAAACGTCGCTGCCTGCTTAGGCAGGACACCGCTTTGCCCTAGGTCGTAAGTGGAGGCGACCATGTCGAAGAAAAAAGTTGCTTCTCGCTCGGCTATGACCTTGAAGGACTTCCATGGAGGATCAATTCCGTCAGATTTGCCACTCCCTTCAGCTCCCGGAATGTAAGTAATGTCTTGCTTGGTTGCTCATGCCGCCTTCGGCGCCGTTGCACTCCTCGTGGAGTTTTAGACCTCTAGTCTTGGTCCCATTCTTCCAGGTTGTGTTAGCAACCTGCATTTTTGAGTTTCTAATTTCATACATGACATACTGGTGTTTCCACACCGCCTGTCATCTCGGCGTGGAGAACTGTATTTGCTGCGATAAGCAGGTAGTTGATCGCAGCTGCCAAGACACTTGTAAAACCTAACTCAGCGTCTATATTCATCGGTGCCCAAGGAACTTTTATTTTATACTGAGGAGCAGAGGGTGTCGTCTGTGTGTTTACTGATAGGTGTTGGATGGATTGCAGGACTGTTGATCGCAGCGCTTACGAAAGACAAGGCTCTGGCACGTGGATGAGTCCTACCCTGGGCAGGGGTTACGGAGGTGACCGAGGCGGGTACTCAAGGCAAGGATCTTCAAACGCAGTTCGTACTTTTGAAGACAAAGCTTCATACTTTCCGAACCCTGCTAATATTGGCCGCAACTATGACGAAGATGAGCGCAAGCCCGTCGATGGGCGCCCTCGGAGTAGCCATAGTGCAGATCGCTACGACGATCATGGATACGAAGAGAGGCGAGGTGGATTTTCTATGGATAGGTATTCCCTCGAAGATCAAGGAAGCTTTGCCAGTGCCCCCGGGAGCTACGTGGAGGCTCGTGGACTGGGTTCTTCTGATCGATTCCCTCCCTCTCAGGTGGCAGGTGTTGGATTCGAGAGCGACAACTATGTACATGACGAGTTTGGACTTATACCCGTGGGTCCGCCTCCTGCTCGAATGACCCGTGAAATTCCATTGAGGCAGCAACCACCCTACCAACGAGAACTTATTCAGACGCCACCAGAGCAGCATCCTTATGATCAGTCCCCGCCTACGTCTTCCTTGCTTCCTTATGCGACCCAGCAGCAGCAGCAGCAGTTAGCGTCGTCCCCACCGCGATCGTGGAGAAATCCTTCCCACCAGCCGGCCCCGATTTCCGTCACACGGACTCAGCAGGAACCCGCAGCACCGGCAAACGTGTGGACTGCAAGACGTGAGAGTGAATTCACAAGAGCTCCTGCGACCGAATCTCCAGCCGAGCCCTTCACGTCGTCCTCTTGGCGTTCACAGGGAAGCGCTGCAAAGATTTCCGAGGCCAGCGCTGTAGACAAGGTCTCTTCAGGACGCTGGCAGTCGGATGCTACACGTCCGTTTATGACGACGGACAGGCGACCTGAAGGATCTCATCTCACTCCCGGAGGGGCAAGCGATGAACCCATCTCGCAAAATGCGTATGGCTCTGAGTACGTCGAGCAGTCTCCATACTCCGGAGCACAACCCTCCGACGCAGTCCAGGGGGCTTACGACGACGCTGGCAGGGCTGGGCCCGGTGGTATGAAGAGGACGACCTTCAGCCAAGCTGGAAGGGGGGAGGCTTTGGACAGGGCCGGATATGTCGAAGAGAGGGGAACAAGTCGGACATGGTATCCAGACGCAGGGGCCCGAACTGGCTACGTCCTCGACACAGGCCGGCGCAGCTATCCGGAGGAGCGATGGACTGGCAGTGGCACTGGCGGGTTTAGTGAAACAGAGAGGGGCAGTAATGCTGATATAGAGAGAATTGCGCACCCGGAGACTGGTAGAGGAGGGTATTCCGATCCCGGCCGAACGAAGGGCGAATCGAATAGAGCTCCTTACGCGGAAGTGGAGAGAGGTGCGCCAGTGGAGAGTGAGAGAGTAGAAGTTAGTGAAACTAGCAGACCTGGTTTCACCGAGTCCAGTAGGTATGGGTTCGGATCCAGCGGACGGGGTGGCCTTTCGAGTGTTGAGCGCGGCTCGCAGTACGAAACCGGCCGCGGTGGGTATTCCGACCGGAGTAGGTACCATGATGACGGAGAAGGATCTTTCCCGCAGGAAAGTGGTCAAGTCATGTATACAGAGAATGGTAGGAGTTCTTATGTCCCCGAAGGTGGTGCCACCGCGTATTCTCGTGAGGAGACGAGGGGTGGTTACGGTTCTGACGGCAATCGTGCTTCATATGGAGACCGAGAACGCAGTCGAAGTCCTTACACTCTAGCTCTAGACCGAGCAGGTGCGGTGTCGCCTGATATTGCTAGATCTCCTGCCGCCGAGGTTTGGCGTTCAGGACCCATTGATTCCACTCGAGCAGCCCCAGGCACAAAGCCTGAACCTGCAGAGAGGCCGAAGCTCAAACTGTTGCCACGTACTAAACCTTTGGAAAAGGAAACGTCCAGCGCTTCAAATGAGGATGTCGGGGGATCTGAGGTTTGTCTCTTTTTCCTCTCCGAGTTCTAGCATGTCTTACGTACTCTTACGCACTCTGTTGCTTGTGACGTGGGCGCTCGTTCTAAGTTTCCGAAATTAAGTTGCAACGTCCAGCTAATTACGTGGATTTCACGTACGTACAGAAAGGAGTCGAATTCCGGTACTCGGAGGAGAAGCGACCTGCTGAGATTCTGTCGCTTGAAACCTTTCCTGATCAGTCCAACGAGATTGGAGCAAACAATTCTTCGTCCGAATCGAATGACGAAGCCAATCGGAAGGTGGAGCGTCCAAAGCTAAATTTGAAGCCCCGAACTCACCCCACGGAAGTCGAACCTGTCGAAGGATCTCAAAAAGTCAGGTGAGTTTTTTAGGCAGGGTGAGACATTATATCGCGGGTTAAATATTCCTTATCTCCTCAACCGAAACCGAAATTAGAATTCTGGACCACGTACAACCAATTCGGACATATCGTTTTTTTTCGTCATCGCTCCGTTCAGCTTTTCAATTAGATCAGAAATTTTATCAGTTTTGTAAGTAGAGAAGCTGATTTGGTTATGTTCTGGAATCTGTTACAGGCAGGTAGTTTTTGGTGGTGCTCGTCCTCGAGAGCTGGTAAGTAAATGACGGCTGAACAGCCTTACATCAAACGAAATGTTCTCCGAAACCAAGTCTGCGTGCGATAAGATGTCGAAACTTCGACTTGATTGCAGTTTCTCGTTCGATTTGCTTTATTTCTTTCTGAGTGAAATCCTAGTCTCTTGACTACATGTCTTGGATCAGGTTTTGAAAGAGCGTGGAGTGGATGACCCTCTTGCAATTTCGGAAGCAAGCCAAACACCTCTAAGTGCAAGGTACTGTGCAGTCACGTGGAGATGAGATTTATTGAGGGTTTTATCATGCGTATGGTTTCACGGCAACTCTTATAAATTCACCTCTGGCTCCACAAGACATGAATTCGAATCTAGTTTTTGAGCAGAAGAAATCAAGTTTTTAGATGTCAGTGCATGCTATAGTCTCCCCTTAAATTGCCCAAAGCAAAACCTGTGATTACAATAGGCATTCGAACGTTCTTAGAACCTTGTTAATCGTCATTGATCACATCTGCCTCTTTAAATGGACGTCCGTGTACTTTTCGACCTAAGCTCACCTTTTTATTGACCTTCGTTTCGAAGTCTGTCACATGAAGTCGCAACGGTTAAAAAAATACAGTTTGGACTTAAACATGATAATGTTGTTTGCTTGGATCGTCTTAGGAGTCTTAATAATTGGAAATGTCCCAAGTAGGCCCTACGTCTGAGTAAAATAGTATCTGAAACCGAAGATGTCTGTTTTAGGTCCTTTGTCTTGTAGTCATTTCAGATTCTTGGGATTTACCGCGAGTTTCTGGTGCTATCTTTGCTTAGTATTTCGTTGTTATTCGCAGTGTACAATCATCGACTCCCAATTCGGCGAAGCCTGAGCGAGCAGATGTCGTGAGGGTTGAGAGGCAAGAAAGCTGGGGAGAGGAAAAGCCGGAGGGTCGGCGATATGAAAGGCCAGATAGAGGATTTGATAGACAAGTGAGCAACAGGCAAGAGGTAACTCGAGGTGATAGGGAGTTTGAGAGGAAGGATAGTAGAAGGGACAAGGAAAGGCTTGAAACTCGTCGCAATCCGGAGAGGTTTGAAAATCGGCGTGAACCCGACCGGCCGGAGCCTCGACGGGATGTAGATGCTCGTCGTGATATTGACAAGCAGGACAGTTGGCGCCGGCCCGCAGAATCTCCGGTTGTAGCCTCTATCGGCCCGCGTAATCCGAGTTCAACTGTGTCTTCTCTTGTTGATCCGTCTCCTCGTACTCTTGGTGGTGGAAAGTATGGCTACAGTGCCACAGCTTCAGCTGTGGAACTTGCACAAGCTTTCTCTCGGTCCTCTTCAATTGGATCTACCATGACAGGTGCTGCTCGTGGTGCTAACAGCCTCCGTTCTCCGCTCAGTCCTCTGCCCAAGAGTTCTGGTCAGGGCTACGGACCTGGATATGGAAATGGTCTTCCGAGCCCCTACGGTCCGCGAGATGCCCCGTTTTCTCGGCTTGCCGAGGCCCCTCCACCTCCGCCTGGAAGTGGCAGAGATATGTATCAAGGTGGTGGTTTCGGTGGAGACGGACTTTCTAATGGCTACGGCAGTGGAAAACTGGGTGGATATGGTGGCGTGGACGTGAAGAACTCGTTTGGGCGGGCGGAGCTTTCCTCAGGTCGTGAGCGTGAGGAGTTCGATGACCTTCCTGGAAAGCGAGGATTGCCTATAAGGCAAAAGGAAGGATATTATGATTAGTCAATGCCAATCACTGAAGACCTGTCAGTGTGACTCGGAATGGATGTAACTTCTGAGGCGTAAGCCAATCTTGTCTCCATCTTCCTTCTTTGTTTGTCGCTGAGGGTAGGGTAATTTCAGAAATGTCCTGCTAGTGTTTTCTAAATGATGTTCTTGATTGGAGAAACGATAGAACATGCTTTCTCTTGTCTTAGAATATCCGGTTGGCTGTTTTAGTTTTGGCCGTTCGCCAAGTGGCTTATACCCGGTAGAAGCCAACAAGCCTGTAGGTCTAGTTGTCTAGCAAAAGTAGCATTTTCTGCAGGACTGCCTTAGAAATCCTTTGACGTCATGTAGTTATTTCAGAGGCAAAAGTATGTTGGTCACACGAGAGCTTGCAAGTGTCCCTGTTTCAGCATTTGATGATATTGGTGGGCATTCATCTCATTCTTGATTCATCTATTTTTACCATCGAAAGAGAAGATGGCGATTCTCTAGTATACTAAATCTCTGTATCAGTTGTTTACTGCTTTGATGCTTGTATGCACCTCATAGTAACTGCTACTGTTAGGACGATGACGGGCCAGCTGTCACATCGAGTCATATTTGTATGTATGGGGATTCATCCAGAGGGCCCACAGATGTGCCCACAGTTCTGGCTTGGCTCTTTTGTTTTTGTTACGCTGCGGTCTGTTTCGAAGAATCCATGCCCCTAGATGAGTAAAAGCTCAAGTCACACGAGAGTAAGGAAGAAGAGGTGTCCAAATCGGATACCCCTTTTTCATGAACGACTGGATACGACATTGAAATACGAGGATTTTGAAACCGCCAATAGACGAATAGGGCTCTCGTTTACAATTTCTAGAATAATCGGCTGCTTTGTTTGAGTGTGCACTTCTAGTGGTTTCTAAGATATGCTTTTCTTCGAGAGGTTGTTTTGGTTGATCGTCTCATGTTTTAGGACACTTCACTTTTCTAGACCTCGTGATGCTTAGTTGCTAAGGATTCCTTATCTCGCGCGATTCATAGTTGGAAAGATGTAAGTTGAGACTCATGCTTCTTGTAATGACCGATGTATAGCTATCAAGAATTCAGCTGCCAGAGCTTTTTTGGAGAGATTAGTTTGAGGCACTACTGTGTTGCAAACATTGTGCAGAATATGACATAGTATTCACTAATCATAGTTTTCGTTCTCCAAATTCTTATGAACATATGTGTATAATAAGTATTGCACCTATACAAACGTTTCATTCAAATTCATAACAACTTTTAGACTGATCCAAATTTTTCATGGAAGGCACTCTTAGTTGATTCTTGCATTTGTCAGATTCAGATTCATTCCGTGTTGAAATAATAATTTAATTGTAGAACATGTAACGAAGAGTATTGGGGTTAAAAATTATACTATTGGTACTCTTCGCGCATACTGAATATATTTAAAAATATCCGTGCCTCATGATATGATCAAACTTCTCATTTCACTCCCTTAGTACCTATAATGAATGTGGTACACAAACTATATTATCTTGACTTTTGTTTCTAAAGTTACCAGTTTCATATAGAGTTTTTCTTTCGAAGATCAATTGAAAAATCATGTAATTATATTTATAGGTCACAGAATGATACGAAATATTGCAGCGAGTGTTATGTTAGCAAAGTATACCTTGTTATATGTAAAAAAATCCCATTATAATCTACATTTTATATTATTCTCGCGAAAAACACCACCACGCAGATTTTTCTTGTCTTCACCTACTAGATTTTATTTTAGAGTGGACATATAACTATTGATAACCAAAGTACCATTATTTGGAAGTTTCACTAATTTTTGTGTTTTGTTAATAATTTAAAATTGAATTTGATATTTTATAGTAATATTTTATCTAAAATTAATATAATAGATTGTATATTGTCTAGAAGAAAAGAGATAACTTTATCCCAAGATCAATATAATGACATTATCATCTTCAGTTCCAATATTATGATACACAAAAATATGATTTATTTCATAGTCTACAGCTCATAGAAATTTTAATGATAATATACAATAAAGAGATAATTTAATTAATATAATAATATTTAAATAATATTTGAGAAATCTCCCATTCTTTCAATCTAAGTTAAAAGATTAAAAAAATTTCTTATAAATAATAATCTTTGAAGTTACTGGATTCCATAGCCTAAAATCATTCATATTTAAATTTGTTACACTTTTTGAAAATACTAATAGCTTGTTTCTATTTTTATTAGTTGTGAGAGAAAAAAAATACAATAAAGGTTTTGAAACAAATGTATTGAATCATCATCTTGTGAATCAAATAAAATAGTATAAAGAAATTGATTTCCAAATAAAATATCTATTACATTGAGATGTTAAAAACTTCAATCCAAAATTCATTTGATAAAGTAGTTAGATACAATATACTAGTCAGTTTCTCTAGTACTTAGGGATAAAAAGTTGGATACGGCACCGGGACTTCCCGGGAGGTCACCCATCCCAGTACTATTCCGGCCCAAGGGCGCTTAACTGCAGAGTTCTGATGGATATTTCATCATAATACATAAGTAAATTTATCACTTTGTAACTAGGAAATCAATATGTTTTATGCTTGAATCAATTTTGAAATTAACTGAAAAGTTGAACATGATTAAATTTAGCTAGTTGTGATTAAATTTATTGATCAAATCTATTTTAGGCTGAATGATTATGATACCTCTAGAAATTTTGAATGAGGAATATCATTTCACTTCATATTACATACCAAATTCTAATGAGAAAACTATGTTACATGTTATTTTTGATTCGTTTGACTAGATAGTAAATAAGTACAATTTTCACAAATTGTATTAAATCTAAAGTTTAAATCTGCACCAAATGGAAAGTTTAAAATTTTCAAGATCTCCAATGACATATTGGCAGTTTAATCTAAAGACAAAGAAGCTTATAGAAGTTCTAGTTAAAAGAGTATAACGTTGACACATAATGAAAATTAGTCAAATCTACCAATATTAATCTTTTTGATAGTAAGTTAGATATTAATTTTCATAAATTATTATAATAATTCTCAAATAATATAATTAAAGAGGTAGACTAAAAACTCCAAACAAGTTTGAAGAGTTAATTGTGTGAATATTGTTTTCATCAGTTAAAACTAAATTTTTAAAATCGTCTTCTAATGTAAATGAATGTTGATCTTGATTGATGAATAGAATAATTGTTTCAAAATATGTTTTAATATGGGCATGTAGATGAATTAGAACATTTTAGAGTCATGATGAGCTATCATGAAAATATTTAGGGTAGGCAAGAGTGAGATTTATTCCAAGGATTACTTGATACATTTGATCTTGTACTTGTGATGACAAGTCTCAAACACGTTAACTTTTGTGTTTTCAATATATCTTCGTCTTTTTCTAAAATTCTTTATATGTAATATTTGGTACAAAATTCAAAATGACTTTATTCTTAATATGACTACTGTACACATGACTTAGACATCATTTTATCTCTTCACATAGTCATGACAATAATGCACCATATAGCAATACAACTCTCTTCATTTAATTATTTTTTTACTCTTATTTTATCTTCAAAAAATTTTACCGTGATGTAAGTACAAGACCTCAAAACTCCAACCAGTAGGATTGATCATTGTAATGATACTAAACCAGTTGATTTTTTTTTTTACCTTATCATATTACAAGCAAAATTCTTACTCAATTTACCATCAATGTGATTTAATCAGTTGCACATATCTCGCTTCATAATAAATTGTCGAACAAGTTATCTTCTTCATAATTAGACTCTTCATAGAAATTGTACATAAAAATCGACCAAAGTGTCATCATTCATCTTCATACTCACATAAGAAATGTTGTCCGGATGTTCATTCTTGTCATACTGTATAATATCACGTTCTTCAACTTCAACAATAACTACGTAATTTCTAGATAAATGTGAAATCTAATGAAGCTTTGAAAGATATCTCTTCACTCTTTGTTATGTGTGCTTCATTGGATGAAGACTTACAAATTGGAATGTTATTTTTTTTATTCCGATAGATAACGCTGACTCTTACATTAGTTGTGAGTACAGCATGGACTAAAAGCACTTTTTCATCTTTGAAGATAATGAAGACAAGACATTGAAACAAGATAGCAAATGAATACTTGACCGCCGTACTCTATGTACATTGAGAAGAAATCACATATAGTATGTCCAATGAGGAGATTATTTATAGACTTTTTGCAATGATCACACATTGCTCTCAATTCAAATGATCATTGTAAAATACAATGTTGAAACTTGCACTTAGTGCTATTGAGATTGTAGATTGACAACTAACACACAAAAGTTTTGTTTGCATAGAACTTTTGTTTTTGAAAATATTGTGAAATATTTTTTTGCATGAGGCGCCAATTAAAAGGTTGGTTACCTGGCTTGAATATATATATATATATATATATTAACTGTTATTTTTTTTATTTGAACAAATATAAAAATTTCTTATTTTAAAATATTTTTACTTTTTAAAAAAATTTTAAATTTTTTTATAATAATTATATATTAAAATTATGTTATCTTTTTTTCTAAACATGAATAAAATTTGTAATATAAATATGAGATGTTTATTTTTTTACTGCATTTATTTTAATATGATTTAATTATTTTTATTTGCATCAAATTCAAGATAAAAAATAAAAAAATAAAAAATAAAAAAGTTATTTCACTTACAATATATCATATATAGACAAATTTTTTTGAATAAATACCATTGAAGTCTATTACAATTAGTTTGATATTGATTTATTTGGTTTAATCTATTCATTTTCTTGTATAATTAATCAATTTTTTACGTTTTGATATTTTCATAATGAATTAATTGTTCAATTTATAATCTAAATGGAATTTATTAAAAATATATCATATTTTATATGCTTATAATTTTAGATTACATGAGTTGGTCAATTATATCTAAGTACAATTTTTTTGAATAATAGCTTAAACAATGAATTATTTAATAATAAAATTACTGATTTCATTATTACTTTTAAAAGAAAATTTTCCAAAAAAAACCAACAATATCAATGATATGACATACTTAAACTCAAAGTTATTAAATTTATAGAGCTTATATCAACTACATTCATATTAGATCATATACTTCTAGCAAAAACTAATATATTTATTTGATCTTTTTGAAATTTTCCTATAATATATTTAATAATTTTCCTATATAATATTGAGTTAAAATTAATTCAAGTCAAACAAAATTTGTTGTCTGCTCAAAATGAACAAAAACAACATAAAGTTATTCATTTTATAAGTAAAAGATCATGTTTGATTATCTACAAGATATTTTTTTCTTGTTTAAAAATTAAAATTAAATAAAAAGCTCATTGGTATTTGGATGAGATTAAATAATGTGTTGTTGAACTATCATAAATTTGAACCTTATGTCCTATATGAATATACATCATGTATATGATG